ACCATGTTTTTCTCATCAGCTGTGAGATGGGCACGCATGGAGTCACAGATTAACTGCGATGGTGATGCGTGGAAAAAAACCACCTGGTCTCCTCACATAGCCTACACCCCCCCCAGCCACCCTTTCATCATCTCCTCATCCATCCAGCCCTTTTCATTTGCGTTAATATCATATGTCATCAGAGCGATGTGTCTGTCTCGCTGTCAGCTCCCAGATCAGCTTCTCTGATTGGTTGATGCGGCGCTTCCAGCAGCAAAGCTTCAATTTTTCCATCTCGAGCAGCAGCAGCGTGTTGGCAGTGCGTCAGAACGCTTCCGACGCGCTGCGCCTGCTGCTCGAAACGCGCTGCGGGATCTTTTGCTGCGCCTATATGCGCGTCAACCATTGACTTTGCATGTAAAATCACTGCTTCTGCTGCACCGGCTGGGTCCAGTTTACACCGATGTCGAGCGGTTGAACAGCGAGCACAGCATTAATTTGTTTCACCATGTTTTTCACATTGGCTGTGAGATGGGCACGCATGGAGTCACAGATTAACAGCGATGGTGATGAGTGGAAAAACAACACCTGGTCTCCTTACATTCACCTCCCTCAGCCTCTCTTTCATCATCTCCTCAATGAGGTGGTCTCAAAAGTAGCAGTTACAACACACATAGGGCGCACCGCACCAAAGGGCGCACCGCACATTTTGAGGGGAAAAAAAGACGTTTATGTGCGCCTTATAGTCGTGAAAATACGGTAATCTGAAAATAAAAAGTGCCGATCTTTCTTTAGTAAGATTCTCGTCAAACGGACATGCAATGTTTGTTTTTAAATCCTAATGTGTCTAATAACAGACCTGGTGAATGATTTTTATTTTTTTCTATGCTCAAAATTTCGACAAAGGTCGGACGAAATCAGGAAATAAAACAGCGTGATTAGCTGTAAGGAAAGTGGAAAAACAGAGGACACTCCGAGTTTACTGAATAAACCAGGGCCTTTCCTCAATATGTGTACTTGTACGTTCTCATGGGCTCGTGAAACGTCATCAACCTCAGCCCTAGAACTGTTCCAATTCACAAGAACAGCAGACTGAGAACGGACAAAGTCCCTGGATGTTGTTCTCGCCTCTCCCTATTTACGCAGTGTGCATTAGAGCAGACTTGTCCTTTCTTGAGATTGACAGCTGTCCCAGCATGCACTGTGGCAGCAGCAGCTTCCAATGAGTGCTCACAGAGCTCAGAGTATTAAGTTAAAAGTTCTCTTTTCTGTTGCTGTTGTTTAATAAAAGTACATCTTAAGATAATTTGAGGCGAGAATATTATACTTTAAAGCCTCACTATATGCCCCATTAACAGATTTAATGCGTAATTAAAAAAAAAATTGAGAGGACCGCGGCAACCAGCAGACCTCCGAGGGTAATGGCAGCCAGGGCTAACCGCAGCCCGTCTGGAGCAGCCGTGTGTGAAGTACCGCTGGCTCTGATCTAAATTTTTTTTTTCTTCTTCCATTTGGTAAAATTTTCATTTGATTTTTGTCTATCTGACTGTGTTAATTATTATTCCCCCACTAAAGGAAAAAAGTCAGAATTTATTATTATCTAGGGAATATTAATAACAGCAGGGGATATGAGGCTCCAGAAAGAGCAGAGTGTGTGGTGACGTCACGGGCACGCTTCTATTCCAATTGACCCATATTTGCGCTGCGTGTTCCCGTCCTCCTCGAGTCCAGACTTTCCTGGGCTCTTTTTAAGAATGTACTTTGCGAGGACACAAGTCCATACTCGCTTTCTTATGTATTGAGAAACGGCCCAGGTTTGCTCTGGAGAAACTCTTTCCTATATTTCAGGTTTAGAAAACTTAGAATTCTCAGTAAACCTGCTTGTTAAACTGAGCCCTGGAAAAACAGTTACATGAATATTTAGTCTGTTGTTAAAAAGAGGTGCCATTAAGAAGCAACGGCTAACCCCAGGCTCACACCGACTCCGGTCTTACCGTTGCGGTGCGGTGGGTGCGGCGCCGCAGTGA